CCTTACCTGGTTGCCTTGGTAACTCCTGCCTCAGCTTCCAGGAGTGGAGGTGAAATATGAGGAGGACTGGAGAGCCTGGGAAAGGAGGCCGAGTTGGTGGCCCCCAGTGCTGGCTTGATTCCCAGCCAGGGCAGGCCACGTAAGACAGGGAGCAGCCAAAGCACTTGGTCCTCCTGACTAAGCCTGAACATGTGAACTCCTGACCAGAAACTGGCTATTTTTAGTGGTACTTTGTGATCTTTTTTTTTTTTTACCCCCAAAGTTTAAAGTTTATGCATACAAAGTTTTAAATATATATTTTAATTGTAGGCAATCCCATTTCATTTTCTTATAATGACCTTGCTGACTCTAAAGGCTCATTTTGTCTGCGCAGCGGCCCCTGCTGTGGCTCCCATGGCCATAACGTTTGATGCCTGTGAAGTTCCTTTGGGTACAAGTGTTGGATGGATGAGATGAGATGAGATGAGAAAAGACCCGTCCTCCCCACCCAGCCACTTAGGACATACCATCAGGAAGCCTGGTGCTGCCATTCTGCCATGGACATATACTCTCCTTCTCTGGCACCTGTCTTCTTGGGTGCCTACTCTATCACTTTATTCCATCTGAACAGACAGAGAAGTCCAGAAAGGAAACGGGGAGTTCACTAAGCTTCCAGGACTGCCCACCTCACTCCTCTCCTCTGATCCTCGCATCCACCAGTCAGATGGGTTGAGCTGTTCCTGCCCTTCCTCCCTTCTCACCCCCCACCCCACGGTCCTGCCCCCTCTTCACCTCCAGCTGTCCCAACAAAGTGGACAGTGCTTCATTTCTGCTTTCACTTGTCCAGGGTCTTCACTCTCAAGGCTTCAGGACATCCTTCCTGGTCTGTCTCTGGATAGCAGGCTCATCTTCCTAAGAATGGAGATGATTCAGGGAATGAGGGCGAATCCTGAGCTGCTCCCAGCCAGTCAAATGGCAGGTCCCCTTGACTCCTTTCCGATATAGGAATCTCCAGGGAGTCACACTTTGCAGGCATACTTGCCTTGCTGTTGTTGTTCTTATACCAATAATCCATGTTTACTGTAGAACAATTAGAAATTAGATCAAATGGAAAAATGAACACTGCCTTTAATCCCACCACCTAAAGAGAATCAATGTGACTCTTTTGGAATATGACTCTACACCTCTTTTTCATATGCGGTAAGGCCCACCTTAACCTTGATTTTTCTTTTTTTTTTGACCATGCCACGCGGCTTGTGGGATCAGGCTTTTTCCCCGACCAGGGATCGAACCTGGAGCCCTTGGCAGTGAGAGCGCTGAGTCCTAACCACTGGACCACCAGGGAATTCCCTTAACCTTGATTTTTTAAAACAGGTATGTACTCCTGTTGTATGTAAACAGGTCAGGTTGTGTATGAACAGGAGATTCAAAAACCGAAACAATTTTGTTTTAGGATGGTGGGATTATGGGTAGTTTTCAATTCATTCAAAATTATCTGTAATGTTGTTACTTTACTCAGTGGAAAAAAATTGTAATTACAGCTCACTTCTAATGGGATTTGGTTCACTGTCTGTAATAGTTTTCTGCTGCTGCCGTAAGAATTCACCACAAAGTTAGCAGCTTAAAACAAAACGGATTAGTTATCTCACATTCTGTGGGTCAGAAATCTGAGTGGGCCCAACTGGCTTCTGTGCGCCAAATCAAGGTGTCAACTGATCTGGGTTCTTATCTGGAGGTTCTGGGGGGAAATCGGTGTCCAGTCTCATTCAAGTTGTTGGAAGAATTTGGTTCCATGTGGCTGTAGGACTGAGGTCCCTTTTCCTTGCTGGCTGTCAGCTGGGAGTCATTCTCACCTTCTAGAAGTTACTCACATTCCCTGGCTCATGGTCCTTTTCATCTACAAACCGGCAATGGCAGATTGAGTCCTTCTCAAGCTTTGAATCTCTTTGACCTCCCCTTCTGCCTCATCTCTCCTGCCTCCAGCTGGAGAGAGCTCTGCTTTCATGTGATTAGATCGGGTGCATCGGCATAATCCAAACCAATCTCTCTATTTTAAGGTCTGTAAACTTAATTACATTTGCGAAGTCCCTTTACCATGTAACAGAACACAGTCATAGTTTCTAAGGATTGGGGGGCATGGACGTATTTGGGGAGAACATTTTGTCTACCACATTGTCTCCCTGCGCTGATGGGCACATCCTTACTTTTTGAAATGAAGGCGATTTCCTAGGTATTTTTAGCTCGCATGGGATGATGTGAGCAGGCCCATCCTTGCCACTGATTGCATGTGACTGGTTAGGAGTCCACAGACCTTTTAGAACCACAGATACATCACTGAGAAGCTGGTAGAATTCTTTAGATGATTTTGATATCCTTCTTGTAGAGAAAGCGACTGTATGCCCTGGTACTCACAACATGCCAAGTGGCAGTTCTCCATTTTGATGTCTTACAGAGGTAAGATAGCCATTTACAAGTCAGAGACAAATCTTCTCTCCCCATCTCCAACAATATTCTTGCCAAGTCCTCAAGTCCTGCCTGTCCATAGACTAGCTCCTTTTCCCCTTTGCTATTCAGTTGCTATTAATTAGCTTTGTACGCCAAAATAGAAAATCCATGAACTTCAATAAGTCAGGCATAAGGAAACCCCGTTGAGCGGGAAAGGTAAATGTAGGGGAGTTGCCAGATGTGGCAGCTTCCAAATGACAAGTTAACTAATGCCTGTGTCATCAGCAGAGCATGGGGCATGCTGATCTCTACCCCAT